TTCAGAAAGCTAGAAGAAACAATTTTGCATATCTTGACTTGATTTAAACATTCCACAGTGCATATATGTATTAAAACATTGTGATACTGCAGTAATGGTTTTAATTTTTATATTTTATGCAATGGTTAAAAATAAAGTTTATAAGCTAGGTGGTGGTGGTACACACTTTTATCCCAGCACTCAGGGGGCAGAGGCAGGTGTATCTCTGAGCTCAAAACTTGCCTGGTCTACAGAATGAGTTCCAAAACTGTTGTGGCTACACCGAGAAACCCTGTGTCAGAAAACCAACCAACCAACCAACCAACCAACCAATAATTAAATAAAATTTATAGAAATAGTTGAGAAGAAAATGATTGGGGCAGAAAAAGCATTTGCACATACCTATGGGCTCAACTTGTCAGCTTTGGCCTAGTGGATCCGAGTACGCATGTCCTAGAGTTCAACTATCAATCAAAAAATGAAGTTGGTGGTAGATAGGGACTAGAAAGGAAGCAGATGATGTTTGCATGTTTGTGCTCACTCCTTTATAACAATAATTGTGCCTCCTGGTTATATATGCTGAAGTCTACCATGGGGTCTGTTTACTGCCAATATCCAGCATAGACCGGCCAATAAATCTACAGGCACTCTGAAGATATTTTGTGGATATTTGAGCAAATGGTAATAATTTTCCTGGAGAAATGAGGGGGGGAAGGAGTGTAGGAAAGCTTTTCTCATTTCCCTGTAATATCCTTCAATTCTTTCCATTTTAACATTTCCTAATTCTATCACTTTCCTAAATAAGAACTTTGTCCTTGTTTAGCCTTTTTATACACTGGAAAAAGGATCCCCAAAGAGATAGAAGTTGCAAAACAGGGGTCCTTGGATATGGTACTAGAGAGAGTCCATCCCAAATCCCAACTATCTCAACCTTGTCAAGGTTTCTTCTGATCTAGATTTGGTGAAATTATTCCCCTTCATAGTTCCTGAAATTAAGCCAGTACCTCTTTTTGAGCTGAGACCCCTTTCTTTCCTCTTGGAATCAATACCAACCAGGCACTCATCAATTATTTTCAATGAAGTTTTACTTACTGTAGACTATTCATGGGGTTTGAGTCAGGAAATGGGATTATAGTAAACAAGAGAAGTACCAATTGTGGAGGCATTTCAGGCACAATGGTGCAAAACAGGGTTTCTTCCCACCTGTGAGTTAGTCTCATGTGTCCTTTCCTTTCTTGGAGCCTTGGGTACAAGCTGAGCATTGGTTTTGCGGTAAAGTAAATTCTGAAAAGATATAGGAAGGTCTAGTGCCAAAAGTGCAAAGCAGCCCTCCTATTAGGAGCTTTCTATTTATTCTCAGAGATCAAGTAAAATAATAAGATAACAATGTCTGAAGGTATAGAGGTGGATAGACTATTAGTTTTGTTCCTGCATTTCCAAGGATTAAGGAAAGAATTTGTGAATACGAATACAGCCAGCAAAAGGCAAAGTTAATTCCAGATTTGGGGGTGGGGGATAGATGAACCTTTTTGGTTTTGAGGCTCAGTTAAGAGAAGAAATCAGGACACAGAAGATAAAACGGAGCTTTCTTTTTCCAGTACTGCCTATATGGTACATGTCCAGGCTCGCTGCGTGTCTCGCAAATGGCCAGATGAGGGGGCAACGAGGAAAACCGGGTTTTGAAGAGCACACATTGGCATGGAATGAAAAGTCAGCAAAAACCACTGGGTGGCAGCGTGGTGTGCGGGAGCAGCTCTGCAGTGCCTGCGGCTGCCACAGTGGTGGGGGCTGAACCCCTCTGGGAGCCCTGGCCTCTCCCGAAGGGCTACAAGTGTCGCCATGCAAAATACCTCCGCAGGTCTCTGTTTGGATGCGGGCTATACCTGAGCCAGGTGCAGAAGTTTGGCCAACTTCCCGAAGCTCAGGCTAACTCTGAGATCTGCACTCAAGTTACACTCCTGTCCCTCTTCTCCCAACCCCAAAACCCAGTAAAGCTCTGCTCCTGCAAATCAACTATCTCATATTTCAGTACTTCCTCCATCACTCTTTCTCCCTGAGATTCTTTTAGGGAAAAGAGGGGTTTGGGCACTGGGGCAGTGTCTAGATCCCCTACAGGTGTTAGTGGGAACTGGGACTCTGCACCTGGGGGGTGGAGGGTGGGGCGTTTGGGGGAGGCAGGCGGGCAGGAGCCAGTAGCTGGGTTCCAGGAGGGAGGGGCCGCCGAGGCAGGGAGGGGGCCGCCGCCAGGCTGTCGCGCTCTTCTGGAGGGTGCCTGCAGCGACTGAATTCCTGTGCTGCGACTGTGCCGCGCCCAGAGCAGCAGCCACAGCGACGATGCCAGGCCATTACCTGTTTGATCCCTGCGGGAAAGCTGGCACGGGCCAACTTTTGCCAATCCTTGGGCCGAGAAGTTGCAAGGACTAGTGGAAGCGCTGGAGGGGCCAGGGCAAGGGCGCGCTCCCCCGTGCACTGCCTCCTCCCTCCTCTCGCCAGCCACCCGCGCCCGCGCGGCCTCTCTCCCGCCCGCGCGCTCTCCCTCCGCCCGCCTCCCTCCTCCAGCCCCCTCCACGCGGCATAGGGCTGGGGGTGCTGCGAAACTCCGACCCGAACGCTTGGACTTGCACAGTGTCCTCAGGGCTCAGTGGCCAAGCGCACGCAGTCACAAGCGCAGCTCTCTGCCTCCTCCTGCCAGTCTCGCCTGCGATCCCGGCCCGGGGCTGTGGCGTCGGTTCGGACCCAGGCAGCCAGAGCCCGCGCGGGAGCCGGACCACCGTCAGAGGAGCTCGGACGGCATGCTGAGCCCCCTCCTCGACTAAAGCCTGAGTGCCTAGAAGCCCGGGCCAAGCAAGTGCAGGCTAAGGAGACCCAGGAGGCGAAGGCGCGAGCCGGCAGCAGCGCAGCAGCGGAGGAGCAAGAGGAGGCAAAGGCAGAGAGGGGCCCCCAAAGAAGTGGTGGTGGTGGGCGTCGTGGCCATGGCGGCGGCTATCGCCAGCTCGCTCATCCGGCAAAAGAGACAAGCCCGTGAGCGCGAGAAATCCAACGCCTGCAAGTGTGTCAGCAGCCCCAGCAAAGGCAAGACCAGCTGCGACAAAAACAAGTTAAATGTCTTTTCCCGGGTCAAACTCTTTGGCTCCAAGAAGAGGCGCAGAAGGAGACCAGGTCGGAAGGGGCTTTCGCCTTTCTCTTTTCCCCTCTCTTACTTTACGACTGTGGAGGGGGTTGGGGGTAGCATGGCAGCGTAGGTGAGTTGGGAGCCCAGCTTGTGCAAAGAGGCCCCCTAGCTGGTGTGCGTGCGTGAGGAGGAGATTGCTTTTTTGCCTCCTTAACAGTTAACAGGCTTGCTGCATTGCAACTGCCCTGGGACAGGCACAGAGCCCAGGAGCATAGCTTGCCCTGGAGGGGCGCCCTCAGCTTCAGACATGTCACATGCGTGCATGAGTGTGCATGCCCCTGGGCTCAGGGAAGGCATAACTCAGACAAGCTGTCCTGTGGTATGGAAATTACAAGAGAGTGGCATTGCCCACCCCTCCTGGAAAACGCAGGGAATCCCTCCCTGTCTGGCTTTCACCTCTGCCTCCCAGACCCTTCCCCTTTTCATACCACCCCCAAGGGACATGAGTTTTCCACTGTTTAGGCATTTCATTTCTTTTCGGGACAAACTTGACTTGTGGGGGAGCTTTGAAACGTTTGCTGGGGGATGGGACGAGGGGAGAAATATTTCTAGGACCTTGCTCCAAAGATCTTAGTAATCTGGTCAGACTACTAAAACTGATTACTTGACATTAAATGCAAGAGGAAAGAAGGGACTTAAATCATCTCTAGGTTGCGGGTCCTTTTTAATGATTTCAGTGCAAAGAGTGGCAAGACATTCCCAAGTTAGGAGAAATTCAGAGCCTTAGGTGTCTGTCAGGTTGCGTCAAGGTAGACCTTCAGCGGGAGCACGCAGCTTATTTCTCATTCTTAACCAAAGGAATTGTTCGCACCATTTTCTTATCTTTTACTTGACAAGTATTACAGCAATGCAGACCTACTCATAGATCAGTTATTTCTCTGTGTGCTCTACTCACCCTGGAAGGGAAAAGCAGGCATACGTCTTCAGTTTACACGAAGTTTGTAATGCATTAGCTGTCAAACAGGCTTGTTTTAAAAAGACGTAAGCAGTCAAAATGGGTGCTTATGTGACTCCAATAAATATTATTTCAGCGCAGGTGTCTGTATTCAATAAAAGCAAATTGTGGATATCATGGCTGTTACAAATAAATTAAGTGCTTGATTAATCTACAGTGATTCATAATTGAAGATCATTTTAATCAAGAACCTATGTTTCGGGTAATCATGTTTTGATATTAAATTTGAAAATAAGTATAATTTAATTTTCCTTTCTCCTTATCAACAGAAACTGTTCTTTTCACGTCCATTTTCCATAAGCAAAAACCGATCTGATAGGGATGGCAATGGCTGTTTCTTCTGCCCCCTTCTCATTGTCTTGTATTGGAAGCCTCAGTTTTATAGATACAGGTCCTTTGATGAGATTCTAGGTTAGATACATAACCTTCTTAGAGTGGTGGGGATTATTTATACAAATTGTGCTGATTTTTTAAGGAAATCTTTGCTGGTAGGTTTTGGCACCTGGTTGGTAGGTTACTCTAAATTATTTTTCTATGTATTTTCTTCCTTATGGAAAGTAACACATCATTAAGATGATAGACGGTGCCGTTTACCAACCCATTCAGAGTGTCTAATGAGGTGGGTAGGACTAAGCCGAAGGACCAGCTATCGCAAATAATGGGCTTTGTCCAAAGCTCTAGTGCATGGCCAGTGTTTTGAAATAGAAACAAAATGTTTCTTCAGATACTATAAGGTTTATTCTGAAACTTTTTATTTGTTTGCTTCTTTTTTTTTTCTTCCAGAGGACTCTTTGAAAATATAGTTTGATTTTTTTCCCACTAAAACTTGTAGACGAACTTAGAATTTTGAACCTGAGTCTCATGAATTGACCTAAACCATTGTTCTCTTTGCAGAACCTCAGCTTAAGGGTATCGTTACCAAACTATACAGCCGCCAAGGCTACCACTTGCAGCTGCAGGCAGATGGCACCATCGATGGCACCAAAGACGAGGACAGCACTTACAGTAAGTGTCTGCTCGATAAAGAGCATGTTGTTGACACTAGGTTCTTTTTATTTAGTTTTTCATCCAAACAAACCTTGCTAAATCCTTAGGTGAATGCAAAATCTGGTCATGTGATATAACCCTGTTTACACAGGCTCCCCTACAGGAAGCTGAACACAGACACGTCTAAAATAAAAAGTAGAGCAAATAATGTTGACACCATCTGAAGGTTGATCCAAATGTCATCTCCATGGTAATCTCGATAGATTTATGGCTGTCCTTTGGATTTTATTACTTTTTCCCCCAGAAAAATTTCTCACCCACACAACAATCCTGAAATATCATGATATCTCCACTCTTAAAAATGAGTCTCATCCCAAGAGGCAGAAGTGGTTTCACACCATGGTATTTTCTTGTTACAAGCTTTTGCTCCTGCCCTCCCCTTGTCACATATACCAGTAACTCTAAGGCTAATTGATACTTTAACACTGAGTTACTTACACGGATCTGCAAGGGGATTTCTCTTAGACTAACCTGGAGACTGTAATGCTGAATCGAGAAGGAAAGGCATCAAATGGGAGTTTTATTTCTAATTACCAAAACCCAGTGATCTGAAGGGATTTGTTACGTAACCTTTGCCTAAAATATTTATTTAGAGTAATTAAAATAAAGACACAAAGAATGCCCCCTTCAATATTAATTGCGGTCTTCTTGCAATTTACCGATGTCTGCAGACTTACTCATTTGTTTCTGAGACCTAAAGTTCCTGGTTCTCATAATTCATTCTTTGTTTTCTAAAATTTGGATTCGTTTCTCTCAGATTTGTTAATTCCTAGAAATATTCCCATTGTTGGCTGAGAAAACAGCTGAGAAAAGTAGGTCTGGCTGCTAAGGAGTTCTCTGTAGTTCGTTCTTTTGGAACTGCATTACTGAAGACAGTAAAGCCATGGATAAGTGTCCCAGTATTAAGGATTAAAGAATTTCACACCTTTAAAGAATGCTTCCTGGACTGGGGGTTGAAATTTTACCTCAATAGAAAGTTACCTTCAATTACCCTTGAAGAAACATCTCTTGGCTCCTAGGATGAGGCCCTGTATACTGAAAGGCTCTTCAGTATTGTGCCAAATGCTCTGTTACAGTGATGACATTAAAGTTTTATAACAAATCCTAGTTACTCCTTCATGCATACTATTCTATTTAAAACAACTACCCAAATGAAGCAGAGCACTTTCCTGCCATCAAGTAACACACATTAATACATAGTGATCCGTAATACAATTTCCACCAAATTATGTATACAGATTGATGTTTGGGAAAGGAATTAAGGTTTGCATGCTACTCTATTCTATAGTGTCTCAAGAAAATAAACATTGTTAAAGGGAAGTTTGTGATGAGCTCCGAGTCAGGATTGCTCTCACATGCTTTAAATATCCAGGTTCAAATCGAGGAGAAATATTTGTTTCCAGTGTTTATGCAGTTACTCAAAAGGAACAGTTTTATTTTGTTTTGTTTTAAATAGATGATTCAGTGTGCTGTGTCTTAGTGATATGTCAAACTCATAAAGATCATGCTGTACATATTCATTTTAGGAAATAAACAGTGCACGCATGCATGCGCGCGCGCACACACATACACAAAGAGATCCATTTCTTATTATGGATCTTTATATTGTATATTAGGTTATTCTCCTCCATTCCTACAATTCCATTGTTTCTTTGGTTGCCTTAAAACTCTGTCTGACATGCCATTTCTAAATACTAATGGCATTTGAAGACCTTTAAAGAACGTAGCCAGATAACAAGAATCCATGTCTACTCTGATTAAAACATATAGCCTTAAGTCAATCAAAGGAAAGTATTACCCTAATATGCACCCTGCAAATGGAAAGTATCCCAAAAGTAAAAGCAAGCTTGTCTACTCTGGGTTGAAGAGCAACCAGAAGTCTAGGGAACTAACTTCACTTCCCTGTTGCTATTATGCCATATAAGCCATCATAAAACACAGATGCCTGTGGATTATACTGGTCTATCAAATTGCAAGTGTGGCCATTAAGATTGATACTCACCCAAAACCAAACAATTTTTTGATATTAAGTTAAAGTAATTATTTAAATGAATGGAACTACGATACATGTGTTTTTCTACCTGTGACTCATTGTAACAGTATTTCCTTAGCATGTATTCCCAGTATTATGTTTATATTTTTCTTTTTATCATAGTTTTTCATATAGTTCAACTTAATTGATTTTATGTTATTTTAGCTTTGATATGGTAAACAAGATCATATGATAAAGCAAATAATTTCATGCTTTATGCATGTCTATTTCTAAAACCGAGTTTGATACTATGTATTTAAGGTTATCTTATGTAAATTTATTATAATGGTAAATGTCAATCCAATGAAATCTCGTCATGGGCAAGTAAGACATTATAAATTATGTATTTTTTCTTGAAAAGCAAAGATGATAGACATTTCATGAAGGCAGTTTTATTATCAGCCTTGGGTATAAAGAATGGATTTTTAAAAGATAGCTCCCCCCTTTTCTTCAAAACTACAATGGTTTTGCCACTTCAGTGTATCATGGTTCTCCAAGTACATTAAAATAATACCTTTGTTAATTATTAGTCTCTTAGAGAAATTGACCTTACCTTGAGCACTGTGAAGCAGGGCTTCAGTATAGAGGTCAGTGGAGAGCTCAACTGTGAATGCCAAGGAGGGAGCATAGCCTTGAGAAAGTGACCCCTTTAAGGTATAAGTTTTTGTTTTTTTTTTATTTATTTTTTATTTTTTTTAAGTTTTTGTTTTTATATAGGAACACTAGCAAACAAATAAGAAGCAGCATGGAGGTTATTAATGAGAATTTTTTTAAATGCACAAAATGAATGAATGAGTGAATGAATGAATAAATAAATAATATAAATAAATAATGCCACTACATTTCCCCTTTTTGTCTAAAATAAAAAAGAAGGCTATAACTAATATAAGGAAAACTATGTATAATAAGTACAATGACTATATACTATATACAGGCAATAAATATGTTGACAATGTCTAGTCCATTTGCATTTGACAAATTCAGAGAATTTACTCCTTATCTATCCAATCTTGGTGAATCCAAAGTCATAACTTTCATTACCTTCCAAAACTATCTTTTGATATCTCAGCCTTATATACTTTACATTTCTTTAGTGCTTTTCTTCTCTGAGTCTCATAAATAAGGGAGACTATAACTATCTAGTCTTCAACTTCCTCAGAGACCTGAGAAGGAAATAACATTAGCTGAGTAAACAGGAAGTGCAAGCAAGCGAATTAAAAAATATGTGAGAAATGACAGAAACAGCTGGCTACTTGGACAGTCACCCAAAGACCCTCTGCAACGTTGGAGCATCTGCCTTTGTCCTATAGGTCTAGCATATATATATATATATATATAAGTAAGAAAGTAAGTAAGTAGGTAAATAAAATGGGCAGGAACGGTAGTGCACATATTAATTCCAGTACTTGGTAAGCAGAGGCAGGCAGATCTCTGTGAGTTTGAGGCCAGCCTGTTCTACAAAGTGAAGTCCTGGGCAGTCAGGGCTCCACTGAGAAACCCTGGCTCAAAAAGCCAAACCAAACAAAGAAAAACAAACAAACAGATCTCTTAAAATCAAGCTAAAAGAGAATAAAAGATTTTAGGTATTTAATTGAATATGTTTTAGAAACACAAATGAAATCTATTACTTATAATATTGAGAAATTTTTCAGCTTGATCAAAATATTCTTTTTCTTTTGTTACTGTTGTCTAGCTCTATTAACTGTGAGTATAGTTTTCTGGCAAAAAGTAGCAAGCCATAACAAATGCAGTGCACATGACTCAAAGGTGTATTGTAGAGGAAGTTTTGGGTTACTATTGAGATTATTCATGACAAAATCCATTGCTCCTAAAATTGGTGTTACCCTAGGTTTCATTTATCATTGTTTACGTTCTGAAGTCTAGCCTCTGACTAAAATAAGCCTGAATTTAAATTCTTCTTGCCATATCTTAAGTCCATAAAGAATTACTCCAAGTTTAGAGAAGACAGTGCAAAGCTATGAGTGGTAGTGCATGCCTGCAATCCTAATACTAAGGAGGCTGAGGCAGGAGAATTGCTCACAGGTCCTGATCAGTCTGCATTGCATAGCAAGCATCAGAACTGCTAGAGGAAGCAAGATTCTGTCTTAGAAACAGGAAAGAGAGCAAGAGCACAGTGATTCTATCCAAGCATACTTCTGGTTTAGCTTTTTGCATTTTAATCTGGGAAGACTGCCTCTTTGGAAAAATTCAAAGACAACTCAGTGTGTACTTCACCTTGAATATCTAAAGAAAATATTGGACTGGTATGTGATATATATGATCAACTACTTCACATTTTTCTACTCTCTTCAGTTTTGGCATACATCTATCTGTCTGTCTCTGTTTCTAACTTAATAAATACTTAGATTACATAATGAATGGCTTCCTACAAATGCAATGCCATTATTCAGGAATAGGTAATATAGATTGATGTTCTTTGCTGCTCTTTCTCCTTTAACTGTCTACTGTTTGAAATTTAAACATTTCATCTCACACTAAAACACAAAGATAAGAGCAATGAAAAGCAACACAAAACTCAAGCCATTATCAATCTCTTCATTCTCTACCTCCCTCCATGCTCATCCCTGACATGAAAAGCTATAGTCATAAAACTAATAATGTTCAGAATGTTGGTTTATAAATAAAGATTCTAGAAATCATTTTCAATTTCATTTACATTTTTCTCTCTTATATGTTACTATCACCCAATTAGGTTTCAGGCACGTTTTTATATTGACTTTAAACAAACTCATACGGAGCTTTTTGTTTAGTTTATCATAGGCTTGAGATTTTTTTAAGTATGAAGTCTTATATAACATGATTGTCAACTATTATTATATCCCCCAGACACATGGTCATGTTTTCATGATGCAGTTTGGTATCAGTCTACAAATGTGCTGTGAGTACCTGCTGTTAGCAGGGTATCCTCAACAAAAAGAAACATGACTTATATATGATATGCTCAAAGATCTGAGGCTCATTTTCTGTATATTACATTGTCAATTATAGCACATGATCCTGACTTTCAAACTGTGCAATTAGTTTTCTTTCCTTCACATAACAGAAGGGCGCAGCTTTTTATATGGTGAGTATTGAATGAAGTGCCATCAGTGGCATGTGGTAGAAACACTTGTATTTTGAACTGTACAATATGTCCTAGCTCCTCTTTTATAGCACCCAAATTTTAAGGGAAAGATGTATTGTAGGCTTCACAAGGAATATTTTGTTCCTTATTAATATTTTTACCCATATTACCCTATCTAGTGCAACAGAGTGCTCAAAGATAAGTGATTCTAGAAAAAAAATCTTTTATATGGGAGTGACACCTTCAAATTATTGTTCATGGAAGTAACAGGCCAGTTTATCATCCCCAACAAACTTATGAAACAGGGCAAAAATCATCAACATTGGTTTGTGGCTCTCAGGAGCAAGGTGCACAGGCTATTTTCAAAAGATGTGTGTGGCAAACTCTATGTTTTAAAAATGTACTGTTTTATTTTTGTTCGTGGTGTGGGAGGGCGGAGACAGCTGGCAGTGGGAGAACACCCACTGGTTGTCTCCAGTGAGTGGTGTGTGCTTGTGAGGAGCCCTTGGGTGTAAGTTTGATGCTGTAAGACCTTCAGATGGAAAGATGAAGACCTCATTAGCCCACTTGCAACGATTTTGCAGAAAACATTAGAATAACAAATAGTGCTTTTCTTCCATGCCTTATTTTATTACTATAGCTATTGTCTTTGAGACTAAATGCCAAGAGCCTGCTCAACTCTATCATCCTGTGAAATGCCACTTCTTTATGGAATATAAGAATACAAAATAACCGGGGTTTTTTTTTTTGCAAGGCCCAGATTTATTTTAGAGGTTTTTGCATTGGAAATAATACAGATAATTTAGATGAAAATGTTGGTGTAGTATGTCTGGGGAGAGTACAGGAATTTGTCCTCAGCTAACAGTCTCATCTAACAGTGCTTATGAAAAGTTCAGAAGCTGTCTAGAAGAGCAGGCTAAGAACTTAGATTGAGAAGGATGATATTTTGGTGGGCAGAGTGATTCCTAATACTTTGCCGCCCCCCCCCCCCGCCCCCAAGTAAACATTCCCCTCCTCCAGTACTCTAAAAATCAGGATGTTTGAACCAAAGTCTTCTCTTCTTCCTGGAGTATTTGAGAATATGTTGTTATAGATCCAATTAAGCAAATACAATCAATAGTCAGATACACGAGAAAGTAGAACAAGACTACAATAGTATATTTCTAGACTCACTGAGTCTCCACTGATTTGAGGAAGCCAGGTGTTCCTGTTGATTACATTGAAGAGCTATCAAATTGGAATTGTAACATTTTTATATTCTTTGAAATTTCAGCTCTGTTCAACCTTATCCCTGTGGGTCTTCGGGTGGTGGCTATTCAAGGAGTCCAAACCAAGCTGTACTTGGCAATGAACAGCGAGGGATACCTGTACACCTCGGTGAGTCTTTGTGTCCATGTGTTCATGTATCTTGTTTTCATCTGACAGGGAAAAAAATGTATGATGTATATTCTTTTGTCATAAATTTTGGTTTGGATTGGAATATATCAGTTGTAAGGGCAAATTATTTTCTGGTGAAAATGATAGCTCTTCCTAATTGAAAACCAGCATGGTCAATATAAAATTAATAGTATTCCTAAAAATTTTCTATATAGTGCTATTGGACTATTATGTACCATTAAATAGGGAATTGGGCTTTGCAGCTGTGGGAAGCAAAGTTGTTACTTAACTACATAACTATATCTGCCCCATTTATTCCTGAAAAATTAATGAGATCTCTCTCTTAGATCAAGTCCAGGACACAAAAACTGGTTTGTAAAGTGCTCCACAGTTGTCATTGCCAATTTGTTCAGTTAGTACAATTGCCATCTGTTTCCATTTTTAATTTTTTGTCAGAAATTTATGGTTACAGTGTGATAATTTAATAATTGCATACAGTATTATAATGACCAAACCTGGGAAATAAACATTTCCATCCTTTAAAACACTTACAAAATTTTTTGATTATCAGTCATATTTCTGGTGCATAGTGTGCTATTTTATTACAGTTGTAAAATATTTCCCAATCAGGATCATTATGATTCACTCTTTATCATAATTTTGTATGTAGAAATATAAAGGTCATCTCTATTCATTCATATTGCATTGTTATATGAATTATAATATAAAAATGAACATGTTATATCATATTTTATTATACTACTAATGCCATTTTTGTCAAGTACAACTTAACCTCTTCCTACACACAAATTTTGCTGGTGTGTAAGAAGAATGAGGACAGTCATATCTATAAGTTTGTTTGTGTATTATTGATAAATAATATAGGCTACAGATTACTGAGTAATTTGGGACCAAGTGTACTTGGTTAAGCAAATGTTTTAAATTTATATATAACTTTAAATTGCCACAGTACTAGAGTTAGGATTTTATTTCTATAAATAGATCTACCTACCAGTTATAAAAGATCCTTGCTATTTTTATTGTTTATTTTGAATTCCTGAATTTTAGGAAAGGTACAGGATATTTAAAATGAAGAAACTAGACTGGTAAAATTGCTTTGTGTTAAAAGGCGTTTGCTATCAACTTTGATTGTCTTAGTTTAATCCTCCAACCGTTCGTCATTCAATCAATGTAGACAATCTTTAGGCTTTCAAAAAAGGAAAACATTGCTTATCAAACTGCCTACTAGCCTTAAGAATGAGGTGATTACCGACTATCAAAACCCATTGTAGATTGGATGGAAGTGGTTAGATGGACAGACTTGATTTCCTTGTCCTGAACGGAGTGGCCAGTCGTCAGGCTAGTCATAGAGCTCAATAAATACGCAGAATCCACCACTCTCTGTAGTGTCACAAAGAAGCACTAACAATGACGGTGACCTGTGCAAATGGATGTGAGCTGCAAGTAAGAAACTGACTGGAAGCCACAGGAGTGCACGAGAATGTGAAGGGAGGCGGGCGCCCGCGATCTCCCAGGTGTGCTTGTTGACAAAGCCCACGTGCTCAGGATGTGTAGGCCTGTCTACTTTGGCTTGGTTTGGATGATTCTTAAGTTTATTAGCCTAGTAATGGCCAAAAGTACTTGACTAAGCTTCCACTAATTAGTTACAAAACTGAAAAGCCTCAATTTTTAAGAGAAACAACATATAAAATGTATTTGTCTGTAAAAATTGTATATATTTTTACAGAAAGTCTATTTCTTTGAATATAAAAGAGGGAAGGCTCTGATTTAGTTTCTCCATACCCTTTTGAAAAGATTTGCAACTTGTAGTTAAAATCTATTTCTTACAGCTTTTTAGAACTTTGTCATGACCAGTACTAGAGACAGAACCAGCTGTGCATGCACTGGCTGTAGTAAGGCAAATCAGATTCACAACTATGCAGGCTTAATTTTCCAGTCTGATTTTGTATTGCAGGTAGCTCTAAGGCATTTGACCCCCCCAGTGACTTACTAAATTGTAAAGTGGTTTGGGAATTCAGGCTAGAGTCATAACCATGGTGCTATTCACAGGCTTACTTCTTTAATACAAATTTAAGCCTGGTGTTGTCAATAAAACAAGTATGTATTTCTTTTCTACAAAAAAAAAACCATTCTTCAAACTGCAAATTAAAAAATTAATCTGTTTTTGCTCTTGGTCTCTCTTGTTAGCTGAATTTCATTCAAAGTCAGATATCTAAAGACTTTACATACACTGTAAAAATCCTGCATTCACCTTGGTTTTAAGTGACCAAGAGGGAAAGAGATGTGAGAGACAAACAAGCCCACAATGGCTCACTCACAGCTAGGCACCTCAAACTCTGAGCACCTGTCAGCATTTTGTCTTGTTGGCCATGACATACAGATTTACCTTGTTTGATAAACTAAAACTTTGAATTCATTGCAAGCTTTATGAAATCTATTATCTATCAATACAGTGCTAGTATTATAGGAAAAGCAACGGAATACTTTTAGGTTTGTTAGTACTATAGCACAATTTCATTTCAGGTAACTTTTTTTAGATCAGCAGGGTCAAATGCAAAAGTAAGCGTTTAATCTGAAAAATGACTCCTTGAACTAATATGCAGATATGGAAAGGAAATAAAATAATGAATATACTTAAGAAGATAAATGTAGAAAATTCTATATTGTTTTAGATAGGGTTTCTATTGCTGTGATAAGACACCATGACCAAGGCAACTTAGAAAAGGAAGAGGTTATTTAGGCTTTTGGTTCCAGAGGTTTAGAGTCTATGATGGTGGAGTCAAGGCAAGGCGACATGTGCACAGAGTAGCATCTGAGAGCTTACATCTCATTCCCCAAGCAGGAAACTGAGACACATTGGGAATGGCATGAGTCTTCTGAAACCTCAAAGCTTACCCTAGTGACACATATCCTCCAACAAGGCTACACCTCCTAATCTTTCTCAAACAATTCTACTACTGGGAGACCAAGTATCCAAACATGAGCCTACAGAGGTCATTTGCATTCTAAACACCACATTTCATTCCCTGGTCCCCATGAGCTCATGCCCATATCATAATGTGAAATGTACTGATTCCAATATCAAAATTCCCTATAGTCTTTCAGTCTAAACACTTTTAAAAGCCCAAAGTTTCTTCTGAGACTCAAGGCTTTAATCTTACTTGTAAACCCCTGTAAGATTAAAAAAAATTCTAACATGCAATGTCATAGAATATATATTATAAAAGGAACAAATCAGGCATAGGGAAGGAATATTGAACCAAAACCTAGCAGGTGAAAACCGAGAATCCCATCACTTCACATCCGTTGTTGAAGGATCATATGACTCTACCCTTCTAACTTTGCTGCCCTCAAGATAAATCTTGCTCTTAGGATGATTCAACTGCCCATGCACAGCTCGCCTTGGCAGATATCCCTCATCTCTAGCATGTCCAGCATCTTGGGGTTTCCAACACAACCAGATTTCACTCTACACAATTGCTTCTCAGGGCCTTCATTCAGGAGCTGCCCTGTCATACATTGCCTGGCCTCAGTGGCTCTCTTTAACCATGAAAGATTTCACAACCATTTTACCTATGATTCTTGAACCAGAATCAAATGGAAGGTGCTGCTAAGGTTGGCTGTTTGTTTGGAATGCAGCCTGGCCCCATTGATCACATTTGCTGTGGCTTTCCTTGGTTTCTCTTTTGAAAAGCAGAAAGTTACTTAGGCATTTTCCTCACAAGTTGGAAACCTAGATGGGTAAGGCCTTGCCCTAAAGGCAATCTTCCTTTATTCTTTTGTGGATCAAGCTTCTCCTCAATCTCCTTAGCTCTTTCAGCACAAGCCTTGACTCCAATATTAATTTTTTCTCTTTTCAGATGGCATTTTTTTATTTCTTTTTGCCCCACTTGGGTTTTTTTTTTTTAATCATTGTAGAGCTGCATAATAGTGGTTACTGATAACCCCGTGACAGGTCAATATCGGGCTACCTTGAAATCTCTTCTACCGAAGAAATTGGTTTATTTTAAATTTAGCCTCAGAAAATTCTTAAGACAAGGGAAGAAATCAACAATAACCTTCGCCAAAACATCCTAAAATGATTTCTAACCTAGTTGCAAATATTGTTCTCCTCTGAAATCTTTTGAGTCGGGTGCCCATTGTCTGTGTAACTGTCAGCATTACTATCTCCCAGTGTCCTACTAAGATGACCCATTCATTTCTGCTTACTGCATTCAATCCCTTTTCTTGTCCAAAATCCCAAACTCTGCCACATTCCTTCAAGAATCAGTACAGTCAGTTCTGTCAAACCATAGCACCATTTCAGCACTAACTTCTCTTAGTTACTTTTCTAGTGCCATGATAAAACACCATGAAGAAGGCAACTTAGGAAAGAAAGCATTGAATTGGACATAGGGTTCCCAACAGTTAAAGTCAGTCCATGATGGTAGAGGGAAGACATTGCAGTTGGAGCAGCCGCTGAGAACTCATATTTCAAGCCACAAGTAAGGTGCAGAGAGCCACACTGGGGATAAAGTGAATCTTTTGAAACCTCAAAGCTGCCCCCAGTGACACACCTCCTCCCACAAGGCCATACCTCTTAATCCTTCCCAAACAGATCCACCAACTGGGAACAATATTCAAATATATAAGCCAATGACTGCTTTTCTTATTCAAAACCCTACAAATATGTATTTCCTATTAAGGGAAAATAACCTTAAATAAGCAATTGAAAACTATGGAAAGTAATTACATTCTTATTGAAATATTTCAGATATACCAAAGCAAAATGTAGGTGTAAAATATTCAAACTGTCTTGTTCTAGCACTGAAAACTGAGTCCTCTCCAGATAAATGTTCCAATTCTTTCCATTAGTCTGTATCCATTATGACTTTAGGTTCCTTCAACAAATTTATCACCATTCCCTCTGGAGCCCTATTTTATTTTCATCTCATTTAAAATGTTATCTCTGGACCCTAATAGGATAGAATTCTATCCTA